AACTAGAGGGTGAATGTTTAAGGAGAGAGGGGAAAAATTTGTTTGGGCCCCAAGGGGCAACTTTTTCATGCAGAGTGTGATGTATGTATGGAATGAGCTGCCAAAGGAAGTGGTGGAGGTGAGTGCAATTACATTTAAAAGGCATCTGGATGTGTACATAATTAGGAAAGGATTAGAAGGATATGGGCCAAACGCTGGCAAATGGGACTAGATTAATTTAGGATATTTGGTCAGCATGGATGAGTTGGACTGAAGGGTCTGTTTCTGTTCTGTACATCTCTGACCTGAGTAACATCACTGATAAGTACTGTAAGGCAGTATTTCAATTTTTTATATCCTTCATGTGGACAATATAAAATTAATCCTTAAATCTGTGTTTGAGACATAGTGATTGTGCCCTCTGTTTGATTCCTTGCACACTGGGACACCTATAATAGGACAACTTAGAATATATGTAGGATTAAGAGTTGGTTTAATCTAATAAAATGAGGGTTTTGCTTTCATTTAACTTCTAAATGGCTTGTGGATTTATTCTGCAGTTATAAATAATGAGATAGCTAAAGCTGTTCACTTCCAGAGAACATTTTGGTTTTGTGGGCCAAGATACGAGTTAGCTGTCGTGCTGTTCAGCTTGTGCTGAAGTGCTCAATCTGAGTTGCAGGATGTAGGATGATGACCTGTTTTTGTTACCATTTTGTGAAACATGAAAGCTAACAGAGTCTTAAACGGAAATGGGACGGTGAGCTCAGAATGATGAGTGATGTGATGAACAGATTGCACATTTATTAGTTTTGGGAACTATTTCTGGGAGTCTTTCTCACACTAACACTTGCCTTGCCATAATGAGTCAGCAAGGACAGCGAGAGTGAGTGTGGTTTGTACCTTGAGCTTTCTTCCTAATTTTGGAGAGAGTCAGGATTAGAACATTTGTTGAAGATTTTTTCTCTCTACTCAGAGAGGAAATGGGTTTATATCATCAATGTTGACTGATTAATGACTTTGCATACTTCAAAGACTTGATCAAATGCAATAAAAATTTCAAACAAAAATGTGGTTGCTAGATTTCACTATTTTAGAATAGAACAGAATAGCAATTTATTGTCACGTGCATTTTTACAAAAATAAACAGTGGAAAGTTTTATAAGTCGCCATACCATGACACCTGTATTAATGACATAAGTCAGAGATAAGAAAGAAAAAAAGCATAAATTAAGGGAAAGTTCATCTCAGATCAATTTCAGTTTGGGGAAAGCCAATTAAAACGATGAACGCTCGAATACTGGGAAGTTGCTACTAAAAAGGACCTCCATACCAGCACAAGACCGCCAAAGTGAGACTGCCCATCTGGGACAAGGTGGCCACCATGCCAGGCTGAAGCCACCATGTCAGGACGAGACCGTCTGCCAGGCTGTTGGAATACCCAGAATGAGACCTCCATGCCAGAATGAAACTGCCAAATGTGGATACTGCCACGGCATGCTGAGACCACCCCTCCACAACAAGACTGCCACACTGGGCTGAAAGTCTCCTTGTCGCTGGGCCCAGGCTGGGAAAAGGCAAGATGAGAAACGGAAACATTAACAAATCACAACTGTGTCTAGACCCTCTACCTATTTCCTTGCATCTTGAAGCTCCGGGGGTGGGACATTATGCCAAGGCCTTCTCCCTGTTGCCCTTTACCAAGTGGTTGTCTCACATTTCCAGAGCCCTTTCACCAAATGTCCTTGTCGTGTCTTTCATTATTCCTGGCATCTGCTCTGATTTGCTAATTCAGAAGGATATGAATGTCAGTAATGTTAATCTTCGGTGGTTGTAAAATTTCTGTATTTGTGAACCCAACAACGCTTGATATCTTTTTGTTTAAATTAGATCTGTAATATTGGCTTTTCTGGCCTATCTCCTCAATCTTTCCTCTTGGTTCTTTGAATGTTAATTTTGACACACTGGTCTCTCATCTTGTATAATTTCAATGTATGTCATTGAACAGTAATATCTAAATGGGGCTCCGTTGCCTGTCTGCAAGATATTTATCTCAGGCCCAACTTAGTTCTGCCTCTTTAACTCAGTGTATATCTTTTTAGAGTGTTTTGTGTTTAACCTGGGGCCACAGTTGATTGCTTACTATCCTGTATCCTCAGCAGCAGTGAATATTGCAGATACCTTTGTGTTCTCAATGAACAGTGTGATGAAATCTCTTTATGCCCATTCTCCTTGACTGTGACCCAGAGAACAGGCAGTTCCAATTGTTGTTAGGTATGATACAGTGGAACCAATTGCAGTTTATTTATTGATAGATCACTCATGACAAGTCAGGGTCATAGCAACAGAACTACACTGAGTCTGTGTATTTGGGAACCCAATGAGGAGTCAGTAGCAGTTGAATTGTGTAGTTGAGAGAAATCCTAGGCCAAAGAGAAGCAATCTTCATGCAGAAATAAGCAGTTGAGCTGCATTTCTGAAGAGCTGAAGTTGTACCCGTGAATAAGTCCAAGACTGTAGTTTTCAAAGTGGAGAGCATGAACCCCGTATAGGATGGTGATTAATTAGGTAACGGGCAGGTGCTGAAACAGTCCATAATGGAGAAGTTCATGAGGGGGAGTTTCATGGTTGCTTTGTCAGAAATGAAGAATTGTGTCCTTTTGTGAAATTTAGTGAGTTTTGATGACCCAATCAATAATATCTAGGGGGAGTAACTGAGAAATCATGTGATCCATCATCATCAAATTTGCTTTTGATGTGTGTGCAAAAGCGTTTGATCACAGTCTATTACCCACATGAACCACATATGAATTCTGAGTGATAGAAAGAAGTTTCACATATATTGTAGATTATATTACTGTTTTAACTTGCAAAGTCTTGTTGTTTATTGAAAACCATGAAATCTTAACTAATCAGAGATAGTAGGAACTGCAGATGCTGGAGAATCTGAGACAACAAGGCGTAGAGCTGGATGAACACAGCAGGCCAAGCAGCACCACAGGAGCAGGAAGGCTGACGCTCCGGGCCTAGACCTTTCCCCAGAAATTTGTTGTCTCAAATTATAACTAATCCCTGGATTTATGTCTAGTTTAAAAACTAAATGGGTGTTCCTCCTAAACCAGATTTTAAAATAATCTAGTGATCTGGTCTAGGATCATACCAATGGAGTTTTCTTCAGTTTGCTTTATCAGTAGGCTGAAAGAAAGCAGGTGGAAAGACAGCGAGAGAGCACGCCATGTGTTCCATTTAAGTCAGTTCTTTCCCTTGTTAAAACCATTTTAGATCACAAAGGCTTTGAAATCAGTTGGTGGAGGTCAAAAATTGATAGTCCATACTTTACTACTGTAAATTATCTTTCTGATTTTCTGCAGTTTTGATTGTGGACTAAATGAGAAAGGGACTTGTTTAAAACCAAAAGATTGTGGAAAGGATTGGTGCACTTTTTAACAGCAAGTTACCCAGCTGCTTGTTCAAGCAGTAGTGGAAACCTGGTTATAGATGAGCTGGAGCTAGGATGCTGTGTACTAGTGGTGATTTGGCCAGAAACAAGTAGCTGATTGATCTGTAAACTAGTGACCATTTATTGTTGACAATGACTTCCTGTCTGCCAACAATCATGCGATTGGCTCCTAGATGGTAAAACAGCTTGGAGGTTTGAATGTTTTGGAGGTGTTCATCTGATGAAGGAGCAGCGCTCCCAAAGCTTGTAATTTCAAAAAAACTGTTGGACTATAACCTGGTGTCGTGTGACTTCTGACGTTGGTCTGGAGAACTCATCAGATCTCCATGAGGGCAGGAGCTGTCCCTTTTCTTTGCCATAAAAACACCTTAAGCCTGAAGAAAGCAAGTTTATTTTCCCTGCATCAATTGCTGGAAGCTATAGCTCTTGACCAGTAAGCCAAAGACTTTACAAGTGTAAACTAGCTATCCTGTGCATCCTGCAAACAGGTGAAAGTACCTGGAGAAGGAAGATTGAGAGGCAGAGTTCAGACCAGCAAAAGAACCATCTCAGCGAACAGTGTGGACAGAGACCACTAAACTGCCTTTCCAGTCTTTCCTACAGCCCATTGGGGAATTCTGGAACTTTTAAAAACAAAACTAACTTTTGTGATGTCTCCAGAAACAGTGGGGCTTGATTTCCAAATTGCTACTCCAGTGAGGCATAACAAAGCTTGGGGGCTTGTCAAGGATAGATTTGAAACACAGTTAGTGAGAATTTGTGTGTGAGATTGGTAAGTAATGCAGGGGAAGGAACACCCCAGGTTCTGTACTACATTCAAGACATGACACTGGAAACAGGAAAGGATTTCCCGCAGGTCGCAGAGCAGACCCTGGCAGTTTTAGGAAATTGCAAAACCTAGGTTGGTTGTATTGATGGGTAAACTGGAGGTAGCATTATCTGGCAGAGTTTGGACAAAGATAAATGAAATATTAGCATAGGTTTAGAGGAAATACAAGAGATGCCAGGCACTCTGGCTAGTGAAACATCAAAATCAGGTGATATTCAGTTACAGTTAAAGAGCTTGGACATAAGGAGAGAATGAAGAAACTAGAGATGGCAGAAAAAGAAAAAGGAAATGAAATTAGAAAGACATGAAGTGGAATTGAAAGGACAGAAGTGGGAATGTTAAGATTAGAACTGTGTGAGAGAGAGAGACAGAAAATGAGAGAATATGAGTACCAGCTTAAAATGACACAGTAGAAACAAAATGTTTTTGCAGGCTCTGCTGTGGAGACTCTGAATCCTAATTGACGTCCAGTAAGCAAGTGTTTAAGTTTGCACAAGCTCTACCAAACATTGAGAAAAAAGAACATGTCATGGAAAATGAATTGGGCAAAAGAGAACTAGACATTGGTCCTTCAGAGCACGGTTGATCCCACCTGATCCCAGCAATTTTGTGGAGTTGTTCAGGAGTTTCACACTGGGTCATTTTCCATGCTTTCTGGGGATGATGAGGGAAGTGAACATTCAGGGAACTGTGACAATGTGTCTGACAGCTCCCTGGATAATGGGCAGATACCTGCGAGAATTGTTGATTGTTGTCACGATCGAGCTGGACATCGGGGGTGTGAATTGCCTTCCTGTTCAGGAATCTGGCTGAACGATGCCAGGGAGATCTGAGCACCAGGTGTGCAGTTGGTGGTCCCTCATACCCGAGGGAACTCAGCGATGGTTTGGGCACCTTGGCTATCTGGGTCCATGATGATCCGGGCAAACGATTGTTTTTCTGTAAAGATCCTCTGAATTTGTGGCCTGCTGATTGGGAGACGTGTGTACTTCACAGTGTTGTCCTTCAGAAAAAGGAAGCAAAAGGGGGGGGGGGGGGGGGGGTGGTGCAGGAGATGATGGTGGCAGTCAGCACCTTTACAACACAAGGAGTTCAACAAGTAAAAGTTATTTTCCAAAGCAGATTGGCAGGGATTTTGTTGCTAATATTGAATAAACTTAATTGAATTGAAGACATTGGTGAGGCCACATATGGAGTACTGCGTGCAGTTCTGGTCACCCTATTATATAAAAAGGATATTATTAAACTAGAAAGAGTGCAGAAAAGATTTACTGGGATTCCAACAAGACTGTGAGGTTTGAGTTATATGGCAAGGTTGGATAGGCTGGGACTTCTTCCCTGGAGTGTAGGAAACTGAGGAGTGACCTTATAAAGGTCTATAAAATCATAAGCAGCATAGATAAGGTAAAGAGCCAACAGCTTTTCCCCATGGTAGAGGAGTCTAAAATTAGAGGGCAGAAGTTTAAGATGAGAGGAGAGAGATACAAAAGGGTCCAGAGGGGCAGGTTTTTTCAAACAGAGGGTGGGTGTCTGCAATGGGCTGCCAGAGGTAATGGTGGAGGCGAGTACAATTTTGTCATTTAAGAAACATTTAAATAGGTACATGGATGGGATAGATATGGAGGGATATGGACCAAACACAGGCAGATGGGTCTTGTTTAACTGTGAAAACTGAGTGGCATGGGCAAGTTGAGCTGAAGAGTCTGTTTCCATGCTGTAAACCTCTATGACTCTAAATGGTTAAGTGGATTTGGGGAAAATAATACTAGAGTAAAAGCAACATTTACTGTCACACTGCATTGACCTGAGGGAGCCTGCTGTAGATTGGCAGTGATCAGGTCTGTACCTGCATTTCTTGAGGGGGTCTTTCCAACCCAGTCCATTATTAGCATGTAGAAGCTGATGTGTCAGCACAACAGCAGACAGAGAGCCTATTCATTCTCACACACAACTTAATTATGTACGGAGTCAAATGACTTTGAGCTTTTAGCACAGTGCTCTATTCCAATTGTCTCCCTGATCCAATAAGTACTTAATCACACAGAGTAAGAAGGTTCAGTTTCACCAGATGTGTAATGAGGTCAATATTTTTAACTGCCTGCACTTTCTGTAATTTTCAATTTGAAATGATTTACCCTAAGGCCTGGCATGGAAATAAATACTCCAGAGTTTTACAATTGAATTGTAGTTTAATACAGCGTGGTATAGATGTACACCTAAGTGTGAAACATGTTGTACGGAGACTGTTTATTCGAATTTGTCTGTAGTTTCTGTAATTTTCATTTATAAAACGTTTGTAATATTATTTTACAAATGTTATGAATAAAGTATGTTTTTGGGAAAAAAAAATTAATGAGTGCAATAGTAAGCACCTAATCCTGATCACAACCAATGATCTCTGTTGCACACTGTACATACTGAGTGCAGACGTGGTGAGGCATTGCCTACCTGTAACCCCACCATATTCACAATTTTACATATGAGCTGATATTCACTGTCTGCACTCAGACATGAGTGCTACTCACATGGTTGACATTTAGTCGCTATCCCGAGTTACTTTCTGAACCACCTGTGGCAACTTTAATTCAACCGAGTGGCGCAGTAGGTCGAATGCAAATTACTGCAGGTCCTGGAAAGCTGAAATAAAAACAGAAATTGCTGCATATTCTCATAAGGCCAGGCTGCATCTGGGCAGAGAAATGGAGTTAAATGGGCAAAGTCCACCAGGGGCTTTCAGAAGCGAGAGGCAAAAGCTCTCTTTCCTGACAGCCGGTTAAAGTTTGGGATTAAGTTTTCAGAACTTTCATGTGAGTTGCCAATGGTTGGGAACTTCCTTTACATTTATTAGCATGTCATAGATACTCATTAAGGCTCTAGCTCCATTGAAATTACGTTCACGGTCTGTCAAGCATGGCAACCACACCAGCAATTGTGACTGCAACAAGGAAGTGTGGCTTAACTCAAATGAGGGCTTAACTCCAAATATCCAGATGAAAATGGGCAGGGGGAGAGAAAGGAGCAGTAAGGAGTGGAACTGAAACAGGATGGAAAGATTTTGGGGAAGGGAGGGAGGAAACTGGGATGCAGAGGGGAGAATCGCAGGAACAGGGGACAGCAAAAGGTTGGCAGGTAAATTGAATAAGGGGCAGAGTTAGGCTAAAGCTGGGCATGGGGATATGGATGGGAGTGGGATCAGGGAGAAGAACACGAATATCAAAGGAGATGGTGAAAGAACAGATACTCACACAGGAAGATTGAAGAAGGACGGAGGGGAGACCAGAGAAAAAGGGAAAGTCTTATACAGTGATGGGCCAGGGAAGGTGGAAGGTGAAAGAATCAAATGAATAATAACATTCTCTTAAATCATCTTGCTAAAGGTGGCCTCACAGAGAGTGCACAATACAAATGGGAGGAGGCTATTAATCCATTAATGCATTAATCCAGAGAACCACTCACTGTTCTGGGGTGCCGGGTTCGATTCCCACCACGGCAGTTGGTGGAATTTGAATTCAATAAAAATATTAATAAATATCTGGAATTGAGAGTTATGATGACCATGAAACCATTGTCGATGGTCAGGAAAAATCCATCATGTTCACTAATGTCCATTAGGGAAGGAAACTGTTCTCCTTACCCGGTCTGGCCCACATGTGACTCCAGACCCACGGCAATGTCGTTGACTCTTAGCTGCCCTCTCGGTAATTAGGAATGGGCAATAAATGCAAGCCTAGCCAGCAATGCCCTCATCCCATGAATGAATAAAAAAAAGCTGAGATGTGTCTGTACATATTCCAGCACAGCACAAACACCTCCAGCTGGGGGAATCGAAACAGGGAAACTGGAAAATACTACTGTGAGAGCACTCAGTTAAGGGCTTGGTACTGAAGGGAAGCACTTGCTGCAGAATTGGGGTGAATAAGCTCGGACAACATCGAACATCAACAGACGACCGTGTCCTATAGGTCGCCTGAGATCCACCAAAATTGGTGATCGTGGTGGGGGTTATTCCATATGCAACTGTTCACGAACATTCACAGGCTGTGTATCAGAAAGTTCAGCAAATTGCTGAGGTGAAGGAAGAGGAGGAGAGGAGCAATACCCAGTGACAACAGAACAAGAGGGGAACCAGGGTCTTCAGTGCCATCGAGTGCCATCAGAGGATGAACTGACAGCCCCCGACTCCCCGCAGGTGAGTGAAAGGCAGTGCTGGAAGCCTCCCCAGGTACACTGTCACCTAAATCTGCAACCTCCTGCAGACAGATCTGTAACCACGTGGTGTAGGAGGTGGCACTGTGTCTGCAGTGAAAACCAGAGCAACAATAAACCTCCTCACCATCAGCTCATTTTAAACCCCAACCAGGACTGGCATCTCCCAACCTGCAGCACACAAGTGCATTGGAGAGTTCTCTATTCCATGTTTGAGGAAAGACGGATGATTTGTCCAGTCTATCACAGAGAGCCAAGGCGTTAGATTTTCAGCCATTGCTGGGTTCTCTGAGTTACAAGAGGCCATCAACTGCTCACATGGTGCTCGGATCTCCTTGGCATCATCCAGCCAAGTTATTAAAGCTGGTTCAGTGTCAACCATTCAGCACAAAGCAACCCATTTGTTTGGCATCAAACCTTCACAAACCTCCACTCCCTCCACCACCGACACTCAGTGGCAGCAGAATGTACCAGCTACAAGATGCACTGCAGAAATTCACCAAAAACCTTCAGGTGGCACCTACCAAATCGACAACCACTTCCATCTAGAAGGACAAGGGCAGCAGATACATGGGAACACCACCCCCTGCAAGCTCCCCTCAAAGCCACTCACCATCCTGACTTGTAAATATAGCACCTTTCCTTCACCATTGCTGGGTCAAAATCTCGGAATTCCCTCCCTAAGGGCATTGTGGGTCAACCTACAGCAGGTGGACTGCAGCAGTTTAAGAAGGCAGCTCACCACCACCTTCTCAAGGGGCAACTAGGGACGGGCAAGAAATGCTGGATAGCCAGTGATGCCCACAACTCATAACTAATTTTTTTGAAAAGCAGAAAGTTAGCGATGAAGAAAACCAATAAAGCAGAATTTAAATGTGTGTATCTTAGATACCTGTGAGGTGCTCATCCTGAAGGTATCTTTTGTGGCTATAGCCTTGTCCTGTGCATGCCTTTGGTAAACCGCTGTCAAGATGTGCACGTTCTCCTAGTTGTGTTCTCCTAGATGAAAAGGAGGTGTGAGAGCTGTTGAATGTTGTAATTCCTCTTAAGTTTTAATGGTAAACCCTGGCAGATGTGAGAGGCTGTGCCACTGCAGCATGTTAGTAGCTGCTATGCAGTAACTGGCACTGATTTCACATGAGGCTCTGGTGGAGATTTCTGCTCCCAACCTCCTGTGTGACAGACAGAGTCACACAGCTCGGAAAAATACCCTTCAGTGCAACTTGTCCATGCCAACTAGATATCTGAAATTAATCAAGTCCCATTTGCCAGCATTTGGCCCATAATCTCTCTAAACCTTTCCTATCCATGTACCCATCCAAATGCCTTTTAAATGTTGTAATTGTACCAGCCTCCACCACTTACTCTGGCAGCTCAATCCACACACACACCACCCTCTGTGTCAAAAAGTGCCCCTTAAGTCCTATTTAAATCTTTCCCCTGTCATCTTAAACCTATGCCCTCTAGTTTTGGACTCCCCCACCCTAGGAAATAGACCTGGGCTATTCACCCTATCCTTGCCCCTCATGATTTTATAAATTTCAATCCTCTGCATCGTCCCAACCTTCCAATGCTAACTCACACTCACAGCAGCAT